AAAATATATACTTAAGTGTATTGATCTTCGATGTAATTAACATTGCTTTTACGCAAAGAGATTATGGAAATCCTAAAAGATTTTACTGCATTTATTCGGTCCCTGTAGTCTTTCATTTCTTTACTTGGGGTCTCATGTTCTTTTTTTATTGATTAAGTCTCTTTTTTTTATTTATTTTTTCCTATAAAAATCCTTCTATCATAGCGTTGCGAGTGTGTTTCTAGTTACCTGACACTGTTAAAGTAATTCTTTTATTTCTAAAATTACGTAATTAAAGAAATGAAAAAAATGAAAAACAAGCAAATGAAAATTAATATTCTTTAATCAGTACTTAAGTTCTTTTTTCAGTTAACTTATTTTATTTTAATTATTTAATTTTCACCTCAAACAAGAAAACTTTAAAAATGAAAGTGTTTTTAAAATAAGTATCCAACTTAATTAGTACTTAAAGACTATATAATGAGTAAAACACAAAGGAACCCTTCAATTACAAATTACTTCAGTTCAAATAGAATAAATAAACAAATAATTATCCAACTTAATTAGTACTTAACTTAAAGACTATATAATGAGTAAAACACAAAGGAAGCCTTCAATTACAAATTACTTCAGTTCAAATAGAATAAATAAACAAATAATCAAAGTGCACGGATGATTTGCATTCTCGGAAAAATAATTTTAAAAAATAGGAACCATTTAATTTCGTTCGTGAGAGAAGATGATTGAGCAAATTATTTGCTTGAAATAATTGAAAGCCTCGACCGATAAAGATTTGAGAATTGAATAAGAGAACAACTCATGTGCAAACAACCCATTTATAACAGCTGATGAAGCTAGAGATGATCGAAGCATGAATTCCAACTAACGTAATGCATTATGAAATGGGTAGAGAGCATCATGTTAAGGAAATAGATCAAGATGTATGTTAAATTATTTTCATTTTATTTATTGAAAATATATCCCGTTTTAATAGGCAAGCATTGAGATGCATATGTGATTTGTCTATAGATAGGAATGGAATGAAAATGTAGGATTTTTTTATTTCATTTTTTATGTATTTAAATTAATTTAATATTGTAATTATAATAAATTTTTAATCCTTTGAAAAAAATCATGCAATTTACCTCTCCTCTAATTCATTCTCTTGTTAGAAATATCTGCACTTCTAGGATGTAATTTTATGATTATAAAAACTTACTTATTATTCACTCAATATTAATGAATTTTACTTATTGTAATAGGTCAACTTGTTGACTTGTTAATCCAATCTCAAATTTCAAATAAAATGTGATGAAAAGTGACATAATAATTAATCCATTAATTAGCATTGATTTAAAAAAAATGAGATGAAAAGCTATTGGTAATAAATTTATTAAATCCAATCTCATCTATAATTCAATCTAAATTTAAGTGAAGGATTAAGATGAATTAATTATATTTGAATCAATTTAATTATTTTTTTAAAAAAAGATGGATTAATTATGTTTGAACCAATTTAATTTTTAAAAATAATTTTTAAAAAACTAAATTGGTTCAAACATAATTAATCCATTTTAATCCTTAACTTAAATTTAGACCGAATTATAGAAGAGATTGGATTTAATAAATTTATTATAAATAGCTCCCTTTTTTTTTAACAAAAAAGAGACTGGACGACAAGATGTTTGAAAGGAGAAGAATTTGAGCTGCATATTCATTAGCATAATTAATGTATATTGATAGACACTATATAGAAACGTTTTAAATGTAGAATTCCTCAGTCACGTATGCATGGAACTCAGCAAATAAACATTATTAATCTATCAACACAACTAGCCAGTCTCTGGTCATAGCTCCCCCTCGTGTGTTCATATGTGATTTTTATGTATAAAATAAAATAAAAAAAACGCGTTGTTCTTTCGAACGTTTTAACTGGATCCATGGGAAGACTTCTCTGGTCACTTACACGAAGGAAGAACAAAGGCATTAGAGCACAGTACTGTTGACTGACTGCACCTGATATATAGCATCCCTTGTGTTTCTAAGCATAAATTAATATCTTTGTATTCATGAGGTGAAACGTGCAACAATCTTTTAAAGAAAGGACGGTCACATCTATCTATCAAATTCCTCTTCTTCTTCTTTTTTTGTTCTTTCGAACCACTTGCATTAATCAAATTCATGGGAGAATACTTCGAGAAAAAATTGAAATATTGTTTGTCTGGAATATCTACACAAATTAAAAGAAGATATTTGTGCACGGTGCCCTTTCCTTTACTTTATAGAATCAGAGCTTGTCCTTACGTTAACCCAAAAAAAAAAACAGAGCAGGAGACTATTCCAATTATGTGGGCTTATTAATCTGACCAACATATTTATTTTGTTTATTTTATGTTCTCCCATGATGTTAACGTCAAAAAGATGATCAAAACCGAGTATACTGTGTAATCTATGTGATTTGATTCCTAGCTATGAAAAAGATATATCTATACAGTTCTAGACAATTAAATTAGTGGTTTTCGACGTCGTTGAAAAAAATGAATCGGAGAGACAAATTGTGTTACATGCATGGACTTTCTAAAGTGTTTTCATACTGCACTAGCTTCTTGATGTGTATGCTTTTATTTTTGTATTTTAAAAATATTTTTAAAAAATATTAAAAAAATATTTACTTTTTTATTTTAAATTAATATTTTTTTGTATTTTTATATTATTTTGATGTATTAATATCAAAAATAATTAAAAAAATATTATTTTGATGCATTTTCAAATAAAAAACACTTTAAAAAATAATTATTATTACACTTTCAAACACCATGTTACAATACAAGTTGAGTTCTTTTTAAAATAAATAATTAATTTAAGATTACGTGTTAATAATTGATTTATTGATTTGATTTCATATTATTTTTTCATAATAAAAACAATTATTCTAATTCAAAATCAATTCATGTTACTTTAAGCGAAATACTTTAAATTGGATGGTACATAATTGATAACAATTAAATAGGGGCAGAACTAATTATGATTTTAGGTAGGAGGTGTCGAAACTGAAAATAAAATATAAACAAATAACGGTTAAAGAATAACAAATAATTCTTTGGAGGTACAAAGTGCATATTTTTTATGAAATAAACCTCAATTTCAATGGTATATTTAAAAAAATCTTAAAACATTTAGGATTAAAATGAAAATTTGGGGTATCATGGCCCCTACTATTGGTAATACAAGTGTACAAGTTAAAATCAATGCTTCACGTTACCTAAGTGCAGTTTTAATGTAAATCTATAATATTACAATGGAAAAAGATAAATATATTATTTTAATTAACTTGAATATTAAAACATTTTTTTCTTGTGCGAGTGTTATTATGTCAGTGTTTTCACTAGCATGTTACAAGTTATTTTATCAACTGAATTATCTAGTGATCTAAAATGTCAAATAAAAACCTTGTCAATAACAAGTTTTTACTAGAAAATTCATCAATGATTTACATATTTATGAAAATTCCTGATAATTTTATAGTTATGGAAGATTATAATTTTACTTAATTTGGGTTAAAAATTATAAACCAAATTGAATCATTGCTTTATTAAAGGCAGCCTGAATTATTCCAAAGTGTTACCTATCGTACATAGCCTACTCATTACATGATATGAAACTAAAGGGACCAACATGGGTACTTAGATTTGTTTTATGTTGTCAACATATATATATATATATGTTGTGGAAAGGTTGGACCACAACCCTGGTGTTCATGATCTTTCTGGTATAGATGATTTGTTTAATAATAAAGCTTAACCTAAAATGTAAGATCACAAAACCAAAAAAGAAGTTCCACATTAAAAGACAAATTTCATTTTCAAAAAAATATTCCTTTATATATAGAGTTACTGTATTATTCTCAATTATCTCATCCAATTCGATGGGTTGATATATAATCATAGCATGCTTTGACACATCTTGCAATTAAATATGTTTGTAAATTTTATCAAATTATTAAGATTCTCTTTGTCATTTTCTTTCTGCAAAATATTGGTAAGAAGGAATATAATTACGTGTGTCCATTCATTCTTGCCCCCCTTCATTTTCTTTTTCATGTCTTTCTCTTAATGGTGCCCATGTTCTAGGATTAGCACAGGCCAAAAAAAGCAAAAAATATTATGTATATATATAAGTTATTTTAATTTCTTTTTTAGTTTAAAGTTTAACTAGAAACATGTTTCATCATATTTTTTTTAAAAAAAAAACAAACCTTGTTTAATTTATTGAAGAAAGAGTCATTGGCATCGAAACTTAATTATTTCTTCTTAAAAAAAGTTTTCATTGTACAGTTATTATGCTAGATTCTCTTGCATTACTTTTCATCATATTCCTTGAATTTAAATTGTTGATTTTAAATTGAGTGAACATATTAATTAAATACAGGACCTATCCTTTTTTTAACAAAATTTGAGTTATTAAATTCAAAAGAATAATGAAATTTAGAGCACAATTAATCATATTTCTTATAAAAAAATAAAAAGTCTAAATCTACTTATCCAAGACAAGACAAGAGAGTCAGTCATGTATTATTCAAGTGTGTTTGAAATTTGTATTAATGATAATGATTTAAAGTGTTTTTTATTTATAAATGTATTAAAATAAAAATTATTTTTAAAAAAATTATTTTTAACATTAGTATATCAAAATAATCTAAAAATATAAAAAAATATTTAAAAAATAAATAAAATTTGAAGTCACATACAGTTCCTATAATTAATCACACCTGCTGGCACAAGTGACATGCTATTCAATTGGAAAGCTTGGACACCTTAAAAAACATCTCAATCCAACTACCCCAAAAAAAAAAAAAATTCCAACACGTGAAAAGGATGCTCAGCAATGCAGAAATTTCTCAGAAAGGACAAGGTTGTTGAAATGAAATGAAATGAAAGGAAATAAGTTACCGACGAAGCATCTTTAAACTTGTATAAGATATACTGAACATCAAAACCCAAAGAGCAAAGATCCACACAAACACCAAGATTTATCAGGAATATGTGGCAAGGAGGGAACAACAGCTTAGAGTCTGAAGGTTCCGATTTCTTGGAGTCCGATCAACAGTATCTTGTTAGCACTCCTGATCGTGATTTTGATACTCCAATGAGTACTTGCCCACAAATGGAAAATAGTGAGGGTACTGCTTCAAACTTCAGTGGTGATCATGATCTCCTCTTTAATGATTCAATGACCTCAACAACGTCAGCGGTCGTTGAATCAGAGCCTCGGGGGCAGGGCATTCCTGGAGTGGACGTGGCGTGTAAGAGTAACGTCACGCTGCCGAAAGGGAGTCCATATAGGGGAGTGAGGAGGAGGCCGTGGGGGAAGTATGCGGCGGAGATTAGGGACCCAAAGAAGAATGGAGCAAGGAGGTGGCTGGGAACTTACGAGACACCTGAGGATGCTGCTCTTGCTTATGATCAAGCTGCTTTTAAGATTCGTGGAAGCAAAGCTAAGCTTAATTTTCCTCATCTAATTGGTTCTAAAGAATATGAACCTGTTAGATTGAGCTCCAAGAGAAGATCCCCTGAGCCTGAATTGGTGCACGATAGCTCCCCCAAGAGGAGAAAATGAAAATGAGTCGCGCGCGAGCCAAGACATCCCTTTGTAATTCTCTATATTTCCTTTAGACTACTATTGAGGTCTTGAGCGATGAATTATTAGAAACCTAGTTATGTTCTTATTAACTAATTAATCGAAAAAGTCTTCTTGTCTTTCGAGAAATCAAGAGTTGAAGGTAATGTCATATGAATCCTCATAAGCTTCGTCCAAGTTAGATATAATTGGTTTTAGTTAAGTCACCATTGTTTAATTATTATTTTTAAATGAATGTGATAAAAAATGTGTTAGACCCCAAAAAAAAAAAAGGTTTACAAGACCGCAACAAATATAGGATGGCTTAGGAAGAACATAGAAACAAAGAAAGGCAAGAAAGCATGATGATCTAATGAGAATTATGTGCCTCTTGCAACCTTAAAATCTGGACAACGAGTCGTCATAAACTCATGTAAAAATTGTTTATGTTGTTATAGTAATTCATTTCTATGAACTTCTTTCACAAAATTTCCTTGTGAATTTATACTCTTAATTAAACTACTCGAATTGATCTAATTAATTATGTTATTTGAAAGAAAGTATCCATTCCTAAAATATACACACACACAAATATCAGGAGATTCTCTATGTATAATCATAATAAATAACAAGCTAACAACAAATGCTAAATCTAGTTTTAGAACTTTGCTCTGTTTATAATATGATTCAAAACATGTGTAGATAGATTAAGTTAAAATATTATAATTTAAAAAAAATTGATTAAAATGTTGTTTGGTATTGTGGTTATGATGAGGTTCACCTACAACCACAAATATTATTGTTTGTTAATGCTTTAAAAGTAATTTATTATTGATAGAGTCCATTATCAATTGTAGTTGTACCACGAGTTTACAAGAAGTAGGTTTTTGGTACTTCTTGTGCTAAGAAAACCCATGAATAGTGGAACATGGGTTTTCTTCAATGAACAGTGAAGCTGTTCATGTGAACAGTAGAGCATAGCTTTATTGTTTCAGCTGTATTGGTCTGGTTCAAAGCTAAAAATACATTAAACCGAGTCTGATCCAACAAAATAAAAAATATTTTTTGTTTTTAATTATATTTTATTCTAAAAACTAGTGTTAAACATTATTTAATGACACTACATTAATTAGATGAATATCATTTGATGACGTAGTATTTGTAGAATTTGATCGCAATCCCAATTTTATTCCTAATTATATTTTACTTGATGTTGTTGCGCTCTTAAAAAATTTATAAAAATTATAGCCCTTGTCTGATGTATTTATATGATGGAATTGTAGATAGTTTAATGAAACAATAAATAATATTTTATATAAAATATTATTTATTGTTTCATTAAACTATCTACAATTCCATCATATAAATACATCAGACAAGGGCTATAATTTTTATAAATTTTTTAAGAGCGCAACAACATCAAGTAAAATATAATTAGGAATAAAATTGGGATTGCGATCAAATTGTTTTTTATTCAACTTTAATCCCAACCACAATTTTAACCAAATATATATTTTTTCAAATCAATCTCAACTAAAAATATTTTTTATAAAATAATATTTTTCAAACTATAACTATAATAATTATTATAACGTTACCAAACATATTCTAAATTACAAGTGATTGTACAAAATTTACATAGAAAGTCACCCAAGTGATCGTTTCCTTTTTTTTCTTTTTCTTTTTTTCAGTGTAGGGGATTTTTTAGATTATTGCAGTGGTGCCCTTTGTAACCCAAAAGAAAACAGCAAATGCAAAACTCATCCCCAAAATAGAAAATGGGCCCATATATCTTTCTAGCATGCCGAACGGGAAACGTAGTTTTAGCCCAACAAACCGATTATAGATTTATGGTGTGTTTGGAAAACACAATATAAATTATATATTTTAAAATTTCGAAAAAAATATTTAAAATAAAAAATTATATTTTTATATCATTTTAATCGCTAATGTTAAAGAAATTAAAAATTAAAAAATATTTTAATTCATTTTTAAACAAAAATTACTTGAAATCACTACTACTATCACACTATCAAACCTACCCTTTCTATATTAATAATGCCCAGCACTTAATAGTTTTCACTTTTCAGCTGCTAGATAGCTTTATAGCAAGAAACTTCGGTGCCCCTGCCTCTCCACTACAATCGGGTACCCTGCCGATGCCGAGGTAAGCCTCCAAAATACGTAGCCCAAAATACTTTCCCAAATTTTTCATTTAACATCATAGTTTTTATTTCATCTTTTGTATTTGCAGGTAAGCTAAACAATTGATCTACAGGTACAATATAAGTGCTTTTCAATTTTTCTCCTTATTTTTATTTTGAATCCTGTGTTGCTTTCAACTTTCTTTCAATTTACTTATTTATTATTTATAAAACCTGCTCTCTCTTTTCTTCACTTCTTTCTTGTTGTTTCTAATAATATACTTTTTTTTTATGTAAGAAGAAGAGAAGCACAAACCCTAAGCAAAGCGAGTTATTAATTTGTTTCTTACTTGTATAATTAAAAAGATTCAAGATATTATTTTATTTAAGCTTTATCTCCCCTAAAAATAAAATATTATAGTGTGAGTTATATTGATATTCATAAAGCTTGACATGGGTTTGAAATTTGTGAATTTCTAGACAAGCATGTTAAAAACATGTTGGTAGCTTGATTGGAGTTGAGTTGATTTGATATACGGCATTGTAGAAATTAGCAGCATTATTGATGTTGATAATATTGATATTAATATTAGTATTGGTATTAATAATTTCTAATTATAAAATTATAAATAAAATTTTTTAACTAATTATATATTAACAATTACAAGTAAATAGTAAATAATAGTACAGCACAATTAAAATAAAAATAAAATAAATAATATAAAAATTCAAGTAGATTCAAATAAAAATTTATTAATAATTTAAATAATTTAAAAATACAATATAATATAATTATATTCATAAAATTTCATTAACTAAAAATTAATCCATCCAAGACAAATAATCTTTTATTGTATCATCTTTTCAGTTATTCCTAAAATATTCGTTACTGTCATCTAGTAATTAACATTGTATCTTTTGTATTGTTTTAAAAAAAAGTATTTTTTTTTTTTGACACCCTAGGCTGAGAGTATAGAGTAGGACGGTGGCTAACTTTGTAGGTGGACCGACTGTGGCTGTCTAGTAGACTGATTCGATCAAACTGGAGAAAAGTTGAACCGGTTAGTTGGAGACATCGAGAAGGCTAAACTGAAAGCTCTGGAGAAGAATTTTTTAAATCCTCGGTTGTTTTAAGATTAGCTTATCTAGATTAAATTCCTTCTTATCCAGGTATTAGTTAGACCATCCTTGTTCATGTCCAGATGGAAGATGTATTCAGCCTTTCTTGGGTTTCAAATAGTGTTATTAATTCCTGCATTATTTACAGGTCAACCCGGACACTTGCTAATTAAAAATCTAGACTGGGTTAAGTTTCAAATTATGTTACTATTAATTCAGTTAAATTAAGTTGACATGATAGCTACAATAACAACTTCGTCAATATAATTTTAATTTTAAAAAAATAAAATGAGCATTTTAACTTAAAAAAATTAAACTAATTTTATTTTAAATTTATTTAGATTAACTGGAGTCTACCAAGCAGTGTTTTATAAATGTTTTTTCAAGTCTAAGATTATAAGGTATATAATATATATTAAACTAGTTTATTCCAAGTATTTAACCATGAACAAATATATAGAAGTCTTGTTTGTGGAACATCATGATGGATGCGTGTGCAAATCAGACGCTGAATATCAACGCATTTGGCTAGAAGGTAAAAAGAAAAGCAATCAGTTTGGTATATTGACATGATAGTAAACGATTACACCCATGAACACCAGGTGATGGCTGAGTATATTTGATGGAAGAGATTACTTACGATGGAAGTGACAGAATGGAAAAGGAGCAGAACATTATTGGAAGAGTTCTTGTTTTTGCTTGCAATTTTCACTGATTCACCTGGTTCTGCAGTATAAAAGGGTGTTGCAACAACCGCAGAGCACTCCCATCTTCTCTCTGGCTCTCTTCGCAAACAGCATGTAATGAAATTGCGAAACTCCGTTGATGCGCTCGGCGGTGCCTCCGGCGGGGCTGACATACATATTGCAAACACCAGCCTTGTCAAATAATCCCGAGTCTCAACTTCAATTGGAAAACTCCCGGGGTAAATCTCCAATACACTTAATCCAGAACTCCAGATGTCCCCTGCATACTCGTCACACATTCCGCAATCTATCCTTTCAGGACTCGTGTACCTGATGGTTCCAACAAAATCTTTTGGGTCCAGAAATTGTGAAAGAATTTCGCCCGAGCCAAAATCTGCAATCTTGACGCTATCTTGTGCATTATCAATCAAAAGATTGGATGGTTTGATGTTGTGATGTAAGCAATGCCCGAGAGGATTTGGCTAGCAATGTTCGATAAATGGCCTTCGCTAGTTATGTGTCTGTCAGCAAGGGATCCTTCATTCATGAACTCAAGGAGGACCTGAATATCTTCACCATTGCTGTCCAATGTTGTGGCATTTCACAATGTTGGGGTGTTTGAGGTCTTGAAATAACTCCATCTCGTGGAGGATCTAGCAGAGGGAAAATTCCTCCACGGGATCAATGGTAATCACTTTGAGAGCGTAGAAGTAGGCACTGGAAGGGTTTCTCACTCGGTAGACAGCACAGCCATTGTTGCTGCCCATTAGATTGATTTGATCAAGCTTGGAGAAGTCGAACAGATTAGTTCGACTCATTGAGAGGACTGAATTTAAAGCAAGGAGCAGTGGAGGAAGTGTAGAGAGAACTTGGAAGAATTTATAGACACAATTTTCTCTAAGTGGCTATGGCCTCCAAGAAGAGATGCCATCCAAGCAATGGCATCCAAGTCGATCAATGATCTTGACTTGGAAAAATGAGATATAACTATGTTAACCTCCAAGTCCCTATCGAATATAAGGCTCTAACAGCTGATCAACCGCTCAAGATGTATCCATTGGCGACTAGTAAATGATGAGTGCATGACAACTGATCATGAACAAAAAATGAACTCCCCACGAAGGAAATGAAGAATTGGAGAGGGGGGGCGGGGGTCAAACAAGCCACCAGGAAACAGCATCTCTGGATTTCAGAC